CCGGCTCCGCTCGCCGCCCGCCCCGCGCGCCCGGCGGCCCCACTTCCCCGACTCCCGCGGACTCGAGGTGCGCTCGGCCGCCACCCTCCGCCTCAGGCTCTCAAATTGACACATAAGGACGAGCGACGGCCGATGAAGCCAATGGAAGCCGGCACTCCGGCTTCGGGGGCGGGCGCTAGGCTGGGCCGGGGCCAATGGGAGCCGGCCGAACGCCTCGGGCCGGGCCGAGAATGTTGACAGATGCGAAGCTCGGTTCCGATAGGCCCGCCGCGATAGTAACAATTTAGAAGCGCAAGCTTAGCAACAGCACGTGGTGGCCCGGCCCCCGTGCTCGCTGACTGGCGGCCGGCGTGCATGTTAAGTAGGCGGCGCGCGCCGATTGGCCCAGAGCGGTCTATGTAAAGTAGGTACGGCGGGCCAATGGCCGGCTGCGGGGCGCGCGGCCAATGAGGGCTCCGCGGCCGGACTCGTTGCCGAGAGGAAGCGGAGCGCGGTGGGACAGCCCGCCGCCGGGCCCCGTGCGAGGGCCCGTTAGGGCGCTGGGAGAGTCCTGGACACCCTCGTCGGTCCGCCGGGTCTGCACCCTCTACGCAGGAACCTGTTGCCCCGGGCCTGCTGCCACACTGGCTTCGCGGAAGCTCGGGGTCTCCCGTGGGGCTGCAAAACTACAACCCTCCCCGCCGGACACAGCGCGACCCCAGGAAAGGCTGGGGCTTGGAGAAGGGGCGTAGACGGTCTGAGCCTAAGAGGCAGGCCTCCTTGAGGTTCTCAGTGGGGAAACGAGGCCCAAAGCAGGAGGGATACCTCAGAGCTGCCCAGTGGAAGGAAGGGTCTGAGAAGAGATGGGGACAGAGATCTGCCGCCACAGTCCAGAAGGGCTCCCGTGAGTGGAGGACTTGGTGCTCACGTCTGGCCCAAAGGGTGGGGACATTCCAAGAGGCTAGCACTTGTCCCCTCTGGCCACGGAAGCGCTTTCTAGGGAAGAGAATTGCCCTTCCTGGGAGGGGAGAGAGCTCCTCATCAAGCTCCCGGCTGGCTGGCTGGCCGATGGCCCTGGTGACCCCTCACCCTAAGCTGGCCCATAGGAGCAGGACTGGCAGCCTGGGGGCAAACCCGGATTGGCCTTAGTCCCCCTTGATGTTCCCTCTCACAGGTTGTTGAGATTGATGGCCTGGGGGCTCCTGCGGAGGGGACCTTCAGGCTGGAGAGAGTGTGGGGTATAAGTGACTGTACCCACCCACCACATCCCACCCGCACTGCTGCTGCCAACAAAAAACAACGAAAACTAAAAATCAACCACTTCCAGTCCTAGGACCTATTGACTGCTCTATATGGGTTTCCTTGGGTTTCCGCACCCTTAATTTACAGACAAGAAGCTGGGAATCCTGAAGTTTAGGGACTCACCAGGGTCTCCCAGCAGTCCCAGCGGAATGGAGATTAGGGCTGTCATACACGTGACCCAGGGCTGGTTACACAGGAGCGTGGAGACCAAATCACTTCCTGGACCAGCACAACGTGATCTGAGAAATGGGCTTAGGAATGTGTGCCCTCCTAGGGTGTCAGGGCCCAGTGAGGAACTTGGAAACTGGCATTAGACAGCTCTGCGTGGACATTAAAACAACACCTGAAGGGAATTCCCTAGCGGTCCAGGGGTTAGGACTCTGCGCTTTCACTGCAGAGGGCCCTGGTTCAATCCCTGGTCGGGGAATGAAGATCCCGCATGCCGCGCGCAGCCAAAAAAAACCCAAAAACAAAACCAGGGCTTCCCTGGTGGCTCAGTGGACACGGGTTCCAGCCCTGGTCCGGGAAGATCCCACATGTTGCGTAGCAACAAAGCCCGTGCGCCACAGCTACAGAGCCTGCGCTCTAGAGCCCGCAGGCCACAACTACTGAGCCCGTGTGCCACAACTACTGAAGCCCG